TACATCTGCCCTCTTGTCTGTAGCCTCACCTTGATGAAGTTGGCTGTTAGGCACCTCTGATTTGAAATAACTTTTACCCAGACTGTTTTCTCCAGTCTTTCTTTACTGAGTGTGCATGATGATCTGTTTTTTCATTGTTGTTTCAATGTTATTTGATCACAGAATCGGAACAGCTTGGGTTGAAAAGGACCACAATGATCATCTAGTTTCAACCCCTTATGTGCAGGGTTGCCAACCACCAGACCAGGCTGCTCAGAGCCACATCCAGCCTGGCCTTGAATGCCTCCAGGGATGGAGCATCCACAACCTCCTTGGGCAACCTGTTCCAGTGCATCACCACCCTTACTCCTAATATCTAATCTAAACCTCCCCTGTCTCAGTTTAAAACCATTCCCCTTGTCCTATCACTATCCACCCTCATAAGCAGCCATTCCCCTTCCTGTTTACACCCTCATTTCAAATATGGGAAGGCCACAATGAGGTTTCCCTGGAGTCTTTTCTTTTTCAAGCTAAACAAGCCCTCAGTCTTTCCTCATAGGAGAGGTGCTCCAGTCCTCTGATCATCTTAGTGGCCCTCCTCTGGACCTACTCCAAGAGCTCCACGTCCTTCCTGTACTGTCTTATCTTTTCTTTTTGTATAATTCTCTGCGTGTGATTAAAATTGTAATGATCTGTCTACCTTCTCTTAAAAGAACACCAGCAATACAGCTGCTGTTCTTCAATCGTTATACTCACAGACGCGATATTTTCTTAAACTGCCTGAAATCTTCTGGGATTCTTCTGGGAAAATACTGGGAAAAGGACTATTTTTGAATGCATTAGTTTTCTTCTAGTTTAAAGTGTTCCCATTCCCTATATATTTTTGTTTTTACGTCAGAGATGACAAAAGTAAAGATTATGGTGGCAGGGTATTCATTCCTAAATTTTTATTTTTTTAACCTACTTAGGTACAAAAACGCCTTTAAAGACTAATTTTTTTCTTGTTGTTTAATATCCCTACTTTAGCTTTACCTTTTAGTGTGTACCAAAGATGTAGTTTTCTTTATTGATTTTTCTCTTCCCCCATTTATCTCCCTCTGTTCTTTGTAGAATCCCTACAGGTTTCTGGTACAGTTATTGGTGATTGATCTGTCAAACATTGGGTTTTACCCCTTCAACTTGAGATGCAAATCCTTAAGTGTTGTAACATTTTTCTGTTAAAGTCCAGACTTCTCTGTATCATAGATATCTTTGCTAACCTTTGCTAACCTTTGCTATTGCATTATTTCAGCACATCCTGTTAATATTCAAAGATCTGGTTATAAATCCATTTGAGACTTCTCACTCTTTGCTTGAAGAAAAATCCGGCAATATATGGATTAGCTTATGAGCGGCTGTCTTATAATGTCCTCATTAGCTAGTGAGATCAGTCTTAAAGTAATGGAGTCATTTGCTGCTTCACTAACTATTTAGTAAATTGATCAGCCATTAGCTCCAAGAATAATAAAGCCTTTTCACTTAGGAGTTTGATTTGTTCTCAATTTTGTCTGGATAATTATTCTCCTAAAATGATGCAGTTCCCTTTGTTTTTATCTAAAGATCTACATCCATATCAAACAGTGATGCCGAAATGTCTTCCTAGTCACATATCTTTAACAAAACCTAGCCTGTTTTACCTACTTTTCTTCCCCAAAGGATCTGACCCAAGCGGATTTCTCTTTGTGTCTGTTTGTTCCAGTTTCACACATTGCTGACAGATACCATTCCACACTTCATGAATATTGTCTATTCCTCACTACTTGCATTCTTAGCCATCAGTGCTGTTCCACCATTAGATTTGTTCTGCTCTGTGCCACTAATTTAAACATTAGCCTCTTACAAACAGACAGAGCTAAATGGTTTGATACTCTTATAAAATGTACAGATTGATTTTCATCATTCTCAATTTTGACAGTGTATTAAAGATGTGTGTGAAAATTACCAGGACTATTCCTTCTGAAGCTTTTGACTCCGTAATTGGAGTGTCAGTAAAGCGGGCTGTGTTCCAGGGCAGTTGTTTCCACAGATGCTTTAAGTTGGCCTTACAAGAAAATCCTTTTTCAGGTGATGTACCTCATGGTTTCATAAACCTTCCTGATAATACTTATATCTGAGCTGCTTGCTCATCTAGTTATTGACTCATTTCTCCACTAATGTTTATAGAGAACTCAGAGGAATTAAGCTAGAGAGATCTGTTCATCTCACAGTATTGCTTCTGCCCTTTGCTTTCTTTCTTTTTCATCTCTTCGTTAGCCATTCATTAAGTAAAACTTTAGTTGGCATGTTTTCATTTTTCTCTTAACAACTCACTTGACTTTTGTAAAATGTCTTAGTTATTCTTTGATTTATAGTCCAAATATTTCACAGTTACAGGAGAGCTGCTCTCTATGATTTTATATATGCAAGCATTATTGTTTAAAAGATTATTTTTGCTTTAGCATGTGAGTAATCCCACACTATGGTACTTCTTTTATAAACACACACACACATATGTTTAGTATATCTTGGCATTAGATACTATTGCCTACCCTTTCACAAAATTATGAGTGTTTTCCTTTTCCCATCATACTTTCAATTTATTGTTTCTGTACTGGAAAACCTGCAGCCATTTGGGCCCTTTATGTTTTCTGAAATTTGTAAGAAACAGGGATAATGTTGTATGTGCTCCAGGTGCACGAACAGTATTGAATTCTGATGCACTGCTTCAATTCTTGCATGAATATTTCCCTTCTGTCTTTCTGTTGAGTCCTGTAGTGTACTAGTCCAGGTTCTTATATTTTTGTTGCACAGACTCCTGCTATTTTGTACACGTGTGTTTAAGTCATTTCTTAATAATCACTTCTCCTCCCATTCTGTCTCCCACTAAATCCTTCTTTTACCTCTTGCAAGCATTCAGTGGTTTGCAGACCTATTGTTTTCTCTCTCCTATGGCATTTCTGGAAGTCTTAAATGCTTTTGAAAGCTATTAGTATTAGTTTTATCTGTAAAGTGTTTGCAATAAGATGTTTATTAGAATCACCTTGTTTCTAAAATGACTTGTAAATTCAGTGCAAGTGAACTTACTATATTCCATACATTTTGTAAAATGCTTCAAAATCACTGTAAAAAAAAAAAAAAGTAAAACCATATGCACAAAAACCTTTTTAACACTCTTAATAAAAATACTGTTAAAAACACTTCCTTGTTTTAAAGTACAGAGAAATGGGAAACATTGCATTAAATACATTGCTGTTATTTTTGGATATGGTTTGGCTTTGGGGAGGGGGATGTTAGGGATGGAAAAGATGTGACAGTCTGAGGGGCAGAGGATGTTGCTTGTCTTCTTTTTCCTTCTTTCCTGGGTAAAATGGTGGACAGACCTGAATGTTTTTTCTTCCAGTTACATAGGTACAGTTAAAGTATTATCTACAAAGCAGCACTCTGTCAAATGGAATGTGACTTTAAATGATTTATATAGATCCCCATATACTAAAATGTGATTTACTTATAAGAGGAAAGCATGAGTGATTGCTTTGTAACATCGGATGAGCCTCCATATGACATTATTACACTTGCTTATCCGCAGGCTCTCATTCCCTTAACTAATGCAGTGGCCTGTATTCCCTTTGCTTCTCAGTGCCAGCAACACACACACTGTAGAATTGTCTTTTAGATTCATATTCTGCATATTTTCTGCAAAGGACATTCAGTGCAATGCTGTAGCTGTAGCTACTGTGCATGCTGAAGCACTTGCTATCATTTCTTGTTCTTGAGAAAACCCTCTGGCAGTTTGCAGTTGCTATTAACAGCCTTCAAGTTTGTATTTGGGATAAGAAAGTTCTGAGCTTTCGCACATGCCCACCCTTCTCAGTCTTCCCACACAAACCATATGACCAATCAAATAAATTTTTCACTTAGGATGATTGAGGTTGTACTGGAATAAAATGCCGAAGTACACCTGGGCTTAAAAATGGAAAGTAGGCTAACAGTTTTATTTGTGTCTTCTCCTCCTGCTTTGTGTTCTCTAATCTTGCAACATACTAAAATCTGCTTTTAAATTAGTGTTTTTCTAGTGTATTATCTGTTCCCAGATGTTGTGATGTCTATAAATGTGCATACCAATTGACTAACGGCTTTACTATCCTGTTGCATTCATATTCTTTAGTTATCTAGGAAGGTGTTTTTCCAAGTTAAAAAACTTTCTACTGATACCTCAGTATGTGGCATGTAAAAGGAATATGCAGTTGTCATCTTGTGAGGTTATGCACATCATCTGTGTTGCTGCCTTAAGAAGCATCGACTTTGAAATCAGAATTAATTTATAGTGGCTTCCAGCAAATGCTTGCTCTGCTTAGGAACAGTTTGCTGTGTACCTAATGAATTATGTGCTTTCTTCATGTTATCACTTTAAAATGTTAAAAATGTTCAGTTTCTGCTGATGGCAGTGTAATATAGCATGGTGCTACATAAACTTTTTAATCTGACTAATGCTGATCAACTGCCATGTACCTATCTGATCTAATGGTATCTTTTCAATATAGCCTCTTCTACTTCTTATAAAAGAAGTTGATGGTAAAAAAGTTTATGAATTACAGGCAAATAGCATGTAAACTGATTTGTTTTCCTTCCTAAGTTCATGTGTGAAAACATTCCTTTCTCATAAAAGTAGTAAAGATTTTCCTTAATGAAGGCATTTCTTCTCTTCAACATACAAAATAGTGTTTTCAATGATCCAGCTAATTTCTTAACTACTATTATCTTACTTAACTGAAAAAAAAAAAAGCTAAAAAAAATTAAATCCTGTTGTTTCTTGTAAAAAGTACTATTACTTTGATGATATGATTCATTATTTGACTTTACTGCAATTAATGAAACAAAGATTTGAATTAACACCATCTTTGAAGTTATGTTATTTCCCCAGTGTGGCCTGAGATTGGATATCTTTAAAGAAGTTTTGCTTGAATCTCTTTCATTTTTCTTCATTCTTTTTCATTTTTCTCTAGACTACTGTTCACAAAAGTCAAACTGGAATCCCTGTGCAGAGGCCCAGATGAAGCACTCCTTACCTGTAAACACATGCTCCAAATTTGGAAATCCTGCTATAATCTCACTAACCCAAGGTAAGGTGCTGTAGAATTCTAGACTGTGCAATACTAGACAGGGCAATGCTGGGTCAGCAGTCCTCCTTTTACTTGTTCTGCTATTGCGAATGAGCAAAACCCTGAGGAGAACTAGAAGTGCTAAGACACTACCTGATGGATAGGCAGGAATCACCTGGAGTTCTCTGAAGTAATGTTAAGCTAATATGCTCTGCTTTAATGCGAACGGATTGCAGAAAGGGCAGAACTTCATGACATACTCTGCGATGTGGTTCTGTGTACTGGCGTTGTCTTGTTTTTCCTCCTGATCTGAATTGTGGAACCTTTTATATCAGCAAGTGTACAGAGTGCTGGAGTAAAATCTAGTTAAAGGACTTTTGCTAAATAGAATGAAGGAGGGCTAAACATTTAAGATTAAAGAAACAAAGGAGATCACATGGATAAATACAACATGCTTGAGAAGTCATCATGGCTTATTTTATTTGTTTTTAAAAGAGAAGTTTGGCTTATGAACCTACTACAGTTCTTCAAATGCCTTTGCAAGTATAAGTTGTTAAGAGTCCTCTTTGAGTTTTTGAACAACTTCAGTCCTTTGCCACACACACCTCTGATCACCTGTGAAATCAACAGGAAAACAAGTGTAAGCAGAATTTCCTGCTATCTGGTTGTCTGAAGGCTTGAAAATTTCTGGAGATGCTGTGTAAGAAGAGACTCATACCAGACTGTATCAGATAGCTGGTATGATGATTTGTTTCTGCTCACAGTTACGTAAACACATGTACCTCTATGAAGACTGGGAGAGCTGGAGCCTTAGGGCTAGTGAAAATTTTTTCCCTCTTGTGAGCAGTTTGGAGCAGAAAAAGTTGGGGGGGGTATGAAGATTGGAGGAAATAGGGGAAAGAGCATTGGAGGCCCCCACTTGGGTCAGTCATAGATCATTTATATAGGCTGATGCTGCACTATGGAGCAAGACTCAGAGTTGATAGAAAGCAAGTATGTCAGAATTTTTTCTTCTAAGCTAATTGATGGTGGTGTTTTTGTTTGCTTTCTTTGGTTGGGTTTTGGGGAAAGGGATTATTTAGGGAGTGCTTTTAAGAATTTTTAATCAAAAGGTTGTGCTGTAGAGAATAGTTAAAATTTCTCTGCAAACTTAATTTCAGTGAGGCTTTAAATGTACTCCACACGACCAGTTCTGGACACCAGACTACTTTGTGCCTGATAGTCTCTACTGTTCTTTTTATCTCGATGCTTAAGACTGTCTTGAAGTTCTGACTCACTGGTGACAGAAATTAAAATCAAATTGGTAATGAAATAGAAAGACAGGGATCATGATGAATTTCACAATTCATACACTGAGTTGTATGAAGCAGTGCGATGCCAAACTGAAACCTTTACTTGGATTGTCCAGGGTGAAATTTCAGGGCTGAATACTCTCTCATGTTTTGCCACAGTAATCCTAATCTGTCTGCCTAGGGAAAAATATGTCACTCTGGTCTGAAATGTGATGGGTAAGTTCTTTTCATTCAGCTACACTACAGATAATGCAGGAGTGTGGTGTAAAATCAGTATTTTCCTACCTTTAATTTTAATACAAACTTTGTTTTGTTGAAAAATACTGTTGGACAATGATTTTCCCACTGGAAATAATTGAAGCCTTTTCTTGTAGTTCTTTAAGATAATTAAAAATAAGTCTCTTAATCTTTACTGTTCTCTTTGTCATTTCTTCTCTTAATCTAAAACTGAAAATGTTTATTTTCAAATATTTAAATATACTTCAAGCTCATGTGAAACATATTTTTTTATTCTGATTGAGACTCAAAACTGATTTTCATATATAACTTTCCCAGTGAGATAAGAACTCACCTTTCTGATAAGCTGATCAGTGTCCAATATTTCTTCTTGCAGTTAATTTTATTTTGTGGTTTAAACTTGGGTTCACTGTCCTCAACAATCTTTTACTACTGAAAATACATTTTGAACAGCTAGATACAGCCCAGCATACATGCTAAATGCAGCGTTTTCTCTTATCTTTGTTCAGCTAATTTAGAACAATTTTGTCTTTATTCAGTATATACACATTTTTCTCCTTAAATAGTTTAATAACACTTACAAAATCATTTTGTGATATGAGACTCGGAATGTGTATGGAATAAAGATTACATCAGCCATGTTTCTATTCAGCATGCTCCTTGAATAGTTGAATTATTTTTTAGTACTTAGTTTGCCTTAAGAAAACAGAACAAACCACAGTGCCAGTAGTGTGCTTTAAAGATATTTGTGCTAAGCCTCACTTTCCTTGTCTGCAATATTTGGCACGTCATTTCTTGTGGACTGAGGAAGTAATTAATACAGAAAATATGCAACTACTGGTGTAGCAACTAAAGCTGATAGTATGTGTCCTAGAAAGTCCCCTTCTGTTTCCTGTGGATTTCTATCATCATTCTGTAAGGAAATTGGTCTTGCAATAATCTTAGTATAATGCAAAGTTTTATTTATATTATTTTAAGAGCAGCTGTACAAAGAGAGGAAGTTGTCTCATTGGTTTTTGAAGCGTGCAACTATTAAGAGTTGCTGAAAGGTTTCTTGCCTTTCTCTCAGATCAAATTTGGAAAGTGACGTTTAAAAAATGTAGGGCAACTGTAAAGATGTATTAAATTCCAGTCTTGCAGTTTAGACTAAGATCTGTTAGGTTTTACTTTAAGGTGGGAATTTTGTAGAGTTTTTTTCTGTTTTGTGGGGTATAAGAATCAGACAAAATTTTGCATTTTCCTAATTTGATCTAACAACCCAATTGTTTTAAAATTCATTATTTTTAAGTTTGTGGATTGTTTCTTAAAAAAAAAAAAAAAAAAAGAAAGATGTTTGTTAAAATCTTAGTTGATAGGAAGTAGTACTAACTTGGAGTCCTAAGTCCTAAAAGCAGAATTACTGCATTAGCCATTAATTCTCCAGTCTCTGTTCTTCTGCTGAATCTTTAATCACAGTTCTAGGACCAATCAGTTTTCCAGCAAGTCTATCAGCAAGAAGCCTGAGGGGCAGTGAGTTTCAACTGAATTGGAAATTGAGTGCATTTTTCCACGAGAGCTAACAGGGAAAACCTGTGGAAAGTGCTTAGGCACCTGATCTATTCTTAATTGTTCAAAGTGTTCCAACTCCACAGTTAGGATCAAATTCTGCATTAGATAGCTAACGTATGTGATAAAAAGCAAAAAAAGACACAAACACCACATCACTCAAATCTGTAGAGATAAAAGTGCTGCCTTTTAAGGAAAATGTAGGTTTAATGTTTTTATGACATTTTTATCTAAAATTAGACGTCTTGAGTTCAGTGTTTCTCTTTAGTGTGGGAAAAGTGTGGATTTTCAAACTCACATCTGTAGTCTTGGGCTGCTGAAACAGAAGTGCTGTATCTTACAGAATAGATTAAGGCACAATAAAGCCTTTTTGTGAAGCTGCTAGTTATAAATCGAGTTAAGTTTGTTTTTGCTTCTTGGTTATACTAATTATGACAACAAAGTCACTGAAGTAAATATGGATTTAGTTTTGCTCAGCTGTCCTTGTGCAGCTGGTTTAATGTACTGTGAGTGGTTGGCGATGCTCAGTACTAAATTTGTTCATAGAAAGAACCTTTATGGCAAGAACCTCTGTGGGAGGAGGGCAGTATGCAACGTGTATCTCAGTATATAATTTTATATTTTAATAGCTCACAATTTTTATACTTCATTACAGTGATTCTGGACGTGGGAGCAGCCTGTTAGACAGAGCTATTGCCGATAGACGACAGCTTAATACAATTACATTACCAGATTTCAGTGATCCTGAAACAGGTAAGAGCTGCATTTGAGCAATAGGATGAATAAAATGGACTTCCCATAACTTTTTTTATTAGTTGTTTGCTTTGTAAAATGATATCATGTATTGTGAGAATGTTTTCATTGTCATATGAGTTGAAAAAAACATTTTGGAACCATTTTTTATTTATGAAGTATTTTTTATAGTATGTTCACTATAAGCTAAAATTTCTGTGGTCTGGATCTTGCTGAGCTGGTGGTATATATATATATATATATATTTTGAAAAGCTAAAAATGAATGTGCTTTATTAGCCTATTTTCCAAAGTCCTTTTCTGCCTATTAAGTGTTTGTCACATATTTTCTTTTTTAAGAAAGCATATCACAAAAATTTAAGAAAACTGAATCTGAAGAAAACTCAAGACGTGACTTGTGGAATTTGCTAAAATCTCCAGTATTTATATTAAAATAGGATTACATAAGTGGATTACTTTAGACATAGCTTTGAAAATATATATTTATTATAAATCATCTATAATGCAAAAATTGTACTTCACAATTGCACTACATAAAAGATATGATTGTTACATATCAGTAAGTATTAACAGTATGTAACTTGTACATTTTATTTAATATATTAAATTTTTACAAGGCAAATTCATATGCCTCATCAAGTCATTTAAATAAAAACAGATGAGCCATGCATCCTGTGAAAAGCACAGAAATAATTACTGTTATGATACTAGATGTGCAAAAACCTTTAGAATATGTTATTTGCTTTCAAAAAAAATTTTTTTCTCCTCTTTCCTTGGTTTTATCTCCAAACTGTAGCATGCCTATTTTGACATCCTTCAGATATCAATTTCTGCTTATTCATACTTCAATATAAACAGCTTATGAGGAAATTTGTCAATCTGATGCATAAACTAAGATGCACTCAAGTGTAGTCTATATCTTTGCTTAATATTGGAATTGTGCAGTAGAGAAAAATCCACTTGAGATATTTCATGTCTGAAAGTTGAAGTTGGAGCTAATGTTCACTAGAAGAAAGAGTTCTGTGGTTGCTATAGTGGCAAGCATCTCAATGGTAAAGATCAAGTCACCTGGTTTAAAAGAACTGTAATATCACATGTTCTGAAGCATGGCATAGTTCATCCTCTTTGTTCCTACAAAAGAATTTTTTTGTGTTCTCATAATTACAATATATAAGACAACAGCATGAAATCTGGTAGCAATCATTCTGTGTTCTAGTCTAGCTCACTGTTTTCTTTGAAGGAGCTAACTTGAGTTTGAATGTTTCATGTGTGTATTTAAAGGTTTCGAACAGACGATTTCTTCTGTGCCTTTCAAAAAATGGGAATTGAGTGATTGTATTTGTTTGTTTGCACATTTTCCACGGGGACACAAAATTCTTCACCCTTCAAGGTGACCTATTTTTGTATATGCCACACTTCAGAGCATAAGTAATTGGTGTCTTTTATAAATTTTATATTCCTCAGAGCTTTTAAGCATAGATTAACGTTCATCCAAAACAGTGAGCTTTTCAAGAACTTTCCCTAGATTTTTCCTGAGGATCCAGATTGCCAGTTTTCCATCAGAAGAGAGGTGGCCAGAAGAGACAGGGAGGTGATTGTCCTTGTCTTCTCTGTTCTTGTGAGGCCCCATCTGGAGTATTGTGTCCAGGTCTGGAGCCCCCAGTACAAAAAAGACAGAGAGCCGTTGGAGAGGGTCCAGAGGAGAGCCACAAAGATGATCAGATGACTGGAGCACCTCCCCTGCGAAGACAGACTGAGGGAGCTGGGCTTGTTCAGCCTGGAGAAAAGAAGGCTGCGGGGTGACCTCATTGCAACCTTTCAGTACCTAAAGGGAGCCCACAAACAGGAGGGGAATCAACTCTTTGAAAGGGTTGATAACTGCAGAATCAAAGGGAAATGGTTTTAAGTTGAGGGAAGGAAGATTTAGGTTGGATGTCAGGGGGAAGTTCTTTACAGAGAGAGGGGTGAGGTGCTGGAACAGGCTGCCCAGAGAGGTTGTGGATACCCCGTCCCTGGAGGTGTTCAAGGCCAGATTGGATGAGGCCCTGGGCAGCCTGGTCTAGTATTAAATGTGCAGGTTGATGGCCCTGCATGTGGCAGGGGGTTGGAGCTTCATGATCCTTGAGGTCCCTTCCAACCCTGTGATTCTGTGATTCTGCCTTTGTGTCGTGAATCTTAGCTGTAGTGTTAGAGCTTATCACTACTTTCAAAGAGGACAAGATTGGAAATTAAAAATCTGGGGTCTTTTTTTGTTTATTTTCCTTATAAGAGGTAATTAAGATGGGTGGAACAGGGAGGGTCTTTTTTTTTATTTTTCTGCTTGTTCTGGTTTTGAGCTTTTAATTTTAGCAGAAACAACCTTGTTACAGTGCACATACTCAAATTCTGGTAGAGACTGTGGCTTTGTATCTATACAGTAGACTGTACAATATACTGTACAGTATCTGGAGTATTGTGTCCAGTTCTGGGCTCCCCAGTACAAAAAAGACAGGGATCTCTTGGAAAGAGTCCAGCGGAGGGCCACAAAGATGGTGAAGGGCCTGGAGCATCTCTGCTATGAAGAAAGGCTGAGTGAACTGGGTCTGTTCAGCCTTGAGAAAAGAAGACTGAGAGGGAACCTGATCCAGATTTATAAATATCTAAGGTTTGGGGGGCAGAGTGGAGAGGCCAGATTGATTTCAGAGGTGAGTGGAGACAGGACAAGGGGAAATGGCTGGAAACTGCAGCATAGGAAGTTCCGCACAAACATGCGCAAGAACTTCTTTACGGTGAGGTGACGGAGCACTGGAACAGGCTGCCCAGGGAGGTGGTGGAGTCTCCTTCTCTGGAGATGTTCAAGACCTGCCTGGATGCCTACCTGTGCAACCTACTGTAGGGAACCTGCTTTGGCAGGGGGTTGGACTTGATGATCTCTGGAGGTCCCTTCCAACCCCTACAATTCTGTGATTCAGTAGCATCAATGTAAAAACTTCATGTCAGAGTTTGTAAAAAAAAATTCCTTATCCAGACAAACATATAAAAATATTACAGTAATTATGTTATGGTAAGATAAAAATTCAAGTTTACCATAGTGTTTGAGTGAGAAAACTCAAGGTAGAAGAAATGTTGTGCAAAAAAAAAAACCTACAAAAAACAGATAATAGATACAGTTGATGATCTAGATGTTAGATCTTTATCACTTGAAAGAGCTCATTTCCAGTCTTTGGAAATGCAAAACTGAATTGGCATTTACAGTACTGAGATGGGGTATGCAGAAAAGCTGCTGGGGACAGAAATCTTTGCTGCTTTTCGTGCAACCGTACGTATGCATTTATGTATGTATATACACATGAAAATGTGAAAACCTTCCGTTTCCTTACTTTGATTGCCATCAGTGGAAATGATGATCTCCTTTCCAGTCTAGTCACTGCTTGACTAATCTGAGTATCATGAAGTGACACCTAAAATTCAAATGTGATGTTTTTTATACTTGCAACTTTTCGTTTGTTTGTTTAAAAAAAAAAAAAAAAAAAGCATTTTAAAATTCAGATAGCAATAAGGGGTGTAAAACTATTTTTTTTTAAGGTATGTCAATTTAGAGAAAGTTGAAATTTGAACAAAAAGTTCTTGAAAAAAGTGTTTACATAAAGCTTTTACCCATCTGATAAAATTAGTGATTAATTGAGGAATGGTTAAATGATTCAGGCCTACATTTTTGTAATCTTTGTAATATAATAACCATGGATCCCATATTTTTACAAGGTTAGGCTGTTAATTCATTGGCCCAATCAAGAACTGTAGCAAATCTACTCTGAGCTTTCCTTCTGTTTGAGCTGATTTGCCATGAGCTGCATACACAAGTTTGTACATTTTACGCAAATAAATAAATATGAGGGAGGGGGATAAAAGGCTTTATGAATCACTCACTGAAGTAAAATCTCAGAGAGGAGCGGACAGATTTCCTTTTTGAAGGTAGATAAGCATGTGCAACTCACTTGAGATTTGACAGTTGACTATTTTGGTTAAAGTAAGTTGCACTCAATCTTTTTAAAATGTTCAATCTACTGTGTAGTCGTTACAGTCCACCTCGTTTGCCATAGAAACTAACAGTGGGATTTGTTCTTTATTTCCTTTTAGATATGTTTTACAAACTCCTGCATTATAACAGAGGGAAAAATTTTCAAAACTAGCTTAGTACAGTAGAGTTTAGTACATTGCTAAGTACACATCAATTACTTACTACATTATTGAGTGCAGCATTCATTTTTTTGTTGCTTTCAGAAACAGTTCAATTTAGTTCATGCAGAAGCCATTTCTATCTTACTGAATGGGGAAATAAGTGCTTTGCATTCTTTGACACCCATTAATGAGTCCATTAAACCCTGTTCTTGGATCTATTTCTTTCCCACCCCTTGCCCCACACCCTTATCATTCTCTTTCTTTCACTTTTTAGCCTCTGATACTTCCTCATCTTCTTTCTCAAGAGCAGAGTCTCCTCTCCAAGTGTTTGTGTCTTCTCATCTTCCTCATCCTAAATCAGATACCTTTGTCTGGCCCCATGCAGCCTCTCCATGCTGTGACCAAGTTCCTGAGCCCTGTTCACCTTCTCACTGTAAACTGGTTTTCTCTACCTGATGGATGTGTTTGTGCTGTATTTTTCTGATAATCTTCATAACTGGTAAACCATGTTTAAAATAATCTAAGCTTCAACAGAGTGTGAGTAAAATCTGGCCTTTCAGATGCAGGTCATTTAATACAGAACGGATTTTAAGAGTTTGTCCTGAACAGATTCTTTTATTGATCCCCAAAAATGAAAAGTTACAGACCATATTCTGTTCTCTTGACTGCTACAGAAAATGGTAGCTGTTTCATAGAAGAGGCTATTGGTCATTACTGCATTGCATTGGAGCTGTAATTATTTTCATTACTGGCATCATTTGTCCAACAAGTCTGTTCATTCAAAGGATTTCCGTGTTATCTTAATGATATCTAGATCCTTGATGTTAAAGCCTTTCAGTAATT